TTCATGTCTTTCTTGAAGTTCTCACGAAAGTTCATTAGGGGCTTCTCTACCTTGCTGTGAAGCTTGGCGGAGAACTTGAGATGAACCTCTGCTTCATCTGCCAGACTCTTCTTCACCTGGGCCCAGGCTTCTCCCAAGGAGCCTTCCTCCTGTGCAGCCAAGGAGTTCTGAGAGAGCTTAGCCAGGTTCTTTGCATATTCTTCTTCAATCTTTATCCTCTCTCAGACGAATTCAGACATTTCTTTCTGCATTTGTTTGCCCTTCAGTTGCTTTTGGATCAGCAGTTCGAACCCAGCCACCGTGCTATTGCCTTGGGGATCCTTCTTATCAGCCCAGAAGTAGTCACAGTAGCTCCACTCGGTTGGCTTTAACAGTTGCTGTTCAGGCATGGTGTCTGGGTGAGGGAATGTCATGCAATTTATCATCTTCTCTGTGGGGTCAACTTTATTTTCAAGATTAAATATTTTGTCTTCATTGCTTGAGGTTCTATCTTCCAAATGGTCTTGTCTGTGGGTGATACTTTCCATTGAACTTTTAAGTTGGTTTAGTGATTCCTTCACTTCAATGATTTCTTCTTTATTTCTTTTCAGGTCCTCTAATATATCTTTATAGAAGTGATCTTTCATCTCCTGAAGCAATTCTGTTATTTTACTGCAAAACTCCTTTGCCTGCTCTCTTATATAATTCTTTAAGTCGTAGAACATTTTTACTAAATACATCCTAACTCCTTCTCTGACATTTTTTCGATGGATTCTCTTATGGGAGCAGCTTGGTTTGTTTGGAGCACTTTATTCCCTTGTTTTTTCATTTTGTTTGTGTGTCTTCCCATCTAGCCGTGTGGTTCTGAGGCAGGATAGTTTCTACTCTGTAGATTTGAAGTGTCCCTGAAGGTTTCCAGAAACTCACAGATCCAGGCTCCGGTTTCTGCACTTCCCACTGGATTGCTAGGCTCAGGCCAATGCAGACCTAGCTGCAAACTCACAGATCCAGGCTCTGGTTTCTGCAGGCTCTGCCACACTGCAGGACCCAGAAGACTCACCGACCGAGGGCGATGGATGAACTCCGGGAGAGAGAGGAAATTAATTCATTTCTATGTGCCTATCACTAATTTACCCCAAGACAGTYTCTTAAAAATGACAAAACCTCTTGCAGCATATTCTGTATGCCTCAGGTAGTTACTCAGGAGTGTATGTTTGTTTTTCTGCAGATTTGGGCCTCTCCAGAATTAACTTGATGCTAAGATTCTTTTTGTTTTTAAACTGTCTAAACAGATTTTTTAATTTGTTTTAATTAGTTACACATGGCAGCACAATGATCTTGACATATCAAACATTTGAATCAGATGGGATATAATTTCTCATTTTTCTGAGTGTACAGGTTGCAGAATCACATTGGTCATGCAGTCACATATGTACCCACAGCAATAATAATGTCTGTTTTATTCTGATGTCCTTCCATTCCCCACTTCCCCTCCCTTCCCCTCCCATCACTTCTCTCTACCCAATCTAATGTGACCCACTTCTTCTTTTGTTTTTTCCCTCACATTGTCATACCTGTATTCTGTATAACGAAGGGGGTCTCCTTCCCTCTTCCATGCAATTCCCATTCTCCCTCCTTTTCCCTCCCACCTCTGTTCCCTATCTAGAGGTAATTTTCTTCTCATGCTCTTCCTCCCTACCCCATTTTGAGTCACCTCATATTTTGAGTCACTTTATATCAGAGAAGACATTCGGCATTTGTTTTTTTGGGATCGGCTAACTTCACTTAGCATAATCCGCTCTAATGCCATCCATTTCCCTGCAAATGCCATGATCTTATTATTTTTTAGTGCTGAGTAATATTCCATTGTGTATAAATGCCACATTTTTTTATCCATTCATCCATAGGCATATAGGTTGGCTCCACAGTCTAGCTATTGTGAATTGTGCTGCTATAAACATTGGTGT